AAAACAGAATGTATTCATTGTATAAAATAGCTAATTAATGTTTATTTTCAACAAATAAGACTTTTTTTTATAACAAATTTCCTTATACGAATACTTTTTGCTCTAACTATATATAGTATATACAGGGTGTTCATTTGAAAACTTTTTTCAAATAAAGGCGATTCCGAAATTCTTGTCGATATTTTCCGGTTCGTTCAGAATTTCGGAATCGCCTTTATTATTGTTTAGCAATCAACGGAGAACATTTTAAACATTTGTTATAATAAATGATGAAATTTTATGCAATAACTATGCCTTGCTATTTTCTTAAATATCTCCTAAAATAGTGATCGAACAAAAAAATGTTTCCTACAGAAGTTACTTGTTTTTTATGTTAGAATAAAATCCTGTAATAAAAAATATACATTTCTCCATTTAAAAAAACAAATTTGACCTTCAAATTACGTTGAAAATGCCCTCCAAATAAAAAATTGAGAGTGCCGTTCTCTTTCCCCCTCGAAATCATGGAACACGTGTTTTAACTTTTTTTTTGTATCTTTTATATTTCTCGAGATAATCAGCTGGAAAGTTTTCAAATGAACACCCTGTATATGTATATATACTTCACATTGAATTATTTAAGCATTAAAGATCTAGCTTCGACCGTCATAGGCTTTAATATTCTTACTTGTTTTTTATAATTAGTCTTAATCTGCAAATTTAGTTTAAATTTAAAAAGATTTAAATTGTAACACACAACGAATTGTTTCATTAAGATATTTCTCCGGCTACAATCGCGCTGAGAAATTAATTGCGTACAATATGCCTCTCCACACGTGCTTTCTAAAGAGAGAAACTTTTGAGACGAGCGTACACACACACACACGCATAAATGTTGTATCTGTGTGCACGAACACTAGTCCACACTGAAGACAGTTGAAATGTGGCAACAGCATGTCCTTGTCTCACCGCTCGACATGCGAGAAGGAGAATTTCATCAAATTACATTAATTACAAATTTAAACTACTCTAATTTAGAAACGGCATCGCTAAGTCTCCCCATTTTTCTTTATAAGGTTCCTATAATATTTCTACATTACATATTTTTTTTTTTTTTAATTTGTAGAAGATTTTCGCCGCAAAGTATTTTAAAAGGTTACTTCGGCAAGGCTTGATATAGGAGTTTACGTGTTAAAAGTTGAAACTTTGAAAAGGTGAATATCTCCATTTCGGTTAGAGTCTTTGAAATTTTAACCCTATATAGATAAAATTATTTTAAACATAATATCCAAATTTCAAAAAAATCTGTAGAAACTCAATTTCTCGAAGAAATACCTTAATTTCGTTAAATAAATATTTCAATTTTTTGTCAGATTCATATGCAAATGTTGAAATTAACATAACGTGATACATTTCAATGAATTCATACAGATTGTTGAAAGAAGTAAGGGCTTTTTTAATCGCATTTATATAGTGAGTGGAATATCTGTAATAATGTGCGCAAATTTAGGAGAAAATGCAAGCTATGATACGAGAAAAAATTACTGAATACGAAATTGCTGGCAGTCCGCAAATTCATTCGTCAAGCTGTCGCGTCGCCACTTCAATAAAACAAGAGAATTTCCGTATTCAATAGCAAGTTTATCGTAGTGATAAAATTTCAATGTCAATCTTGCAATTAATGTATTGTTCTCGCGTTATCAACATTGAATACAGCCTAACTAATATATTTTGATAATTATAAAATGCTTTCCATTTCCGATTTTATTTTTTTATTTCTATTTAGAGAAAGAATTAAAAATTGGCATTTTTTTTTAGAAAAAGCTTATTTGTATTCCAAAGAATAATATAATGTATTTAACATTCACGTTACAAAAGTTTATTGGAAAAATAGTGGCAACGTAAAAACTAGCGAGGTTATCCAACATTTAAAAATTAATGATCGTTCAACGTGCGCCACAGAGTAATTGCAAAAAGTTGCCCTAAAAGGCGGAAATTTGCTGTTACCAAACGCACGTGCCACGTGCGCATTTTAATCGCTTGTGTGATACATCATGAATTACTGTAATTAAAATCATATGCAATATATAATTTATATAAAGTAATGAAAAGGATATTTGTAGTAAATTCAACGTCAACTTCCACTCATTAATCAATGGTCATCACAAACATATGAATCGTATGTTTATAAATTCTATTTTAATTAAATACTTAATAAATATATATGTTCTCTCTCATGGAGTGTATTAAACTACGAATTTAACGACGCAGTATTTTTTAATCGTAACACACACGTGCGGATCGGATACAAACAGTGAATGTAATAAATGTTTTAACGATACTTTTAAAAAACGTGTGCATTGTATTTTAAAAGTAATAAAAACTTTAAAAATAGGAAAATTATTTAAATATTTTAATAACGTATATCTGTAGCGTTTGAGAGAGGAATTACGGCATTGCAAGGATTAAATCGTTCAGTTGCATACTCGATTACGCCTGCATAATCGATATCACTTCATGACTTTGTAAAAGCAGAACTTTATAATTAGCAAATGTCGCTCGTGTAACAGGGTGAACCTTTAATATCCATTACAGCGCGATATTCTTAGAGCTGCGATTAAACTTGCCGTGCTTACTTTCTTCTATGATTCTTTCAATATTACACCTACTCATTTACTCATAAAGAACTCTACAAGTCACAAGATTGTTTACTTCACGAGCGGCTGGAAATATTAGTCAATTCTAGAAATATTATATTTATATTTTGTAAACAATATAAATATGAAAAGGTAAATCTGTCATTAATGCGCATGCTAAAAATTATATTGAGAAAAATGTAAAGACTCCTGAAAATTCTGCTATATGAATTTTTGGAGTAACTTTACTAGTCGCATACACGGGATAAATAATTTTTTCTTTTATAACACAATGAAATATAATTTCAAATGCTTGTTTTTAATCGAAGATAAATTCATTGAGAGAACAAAATTTTAAAAATGCTTATAGAAATGAGTGTGTTTTGCGAGAGTATTATTCAGAATTATAATCTCGTGAAAGTACACTCAGCAATCAAACAAATCTTCACATCATCGAGATGAAGCCATAAACTGGACGTACAAAACGATACACTCAACAATTGACAATAAATTTAATTTCATCGGTATTACCCGTTTCATATATTAGCTGTCCGAGAAATGAACTATAATTGAAACGTTAAGAGCGATAAATTGATAAATCACATAAAAAACTTTTTTTAATTAAATTTTTTTATATTTAATATAATTATAAAGTTGATCGCTGATAAAATTTGCATCTAATGCTAATAAAATAAATAGGTTCGCTTCTTTAATAACTTGGATTTGTAAAAGTGTATGCGCTTCAATTATCGAAAGCTATCGTGATACGTATGGAAATGAGAAAGCAACGTATAAAATAAGACGCAATTGTGCTCAATGTCTGGAAGAGGAGTTGAATTATAGAAGGCAAGCGTGGAAATGTGCCCATCTCGTGAAATTGAGCCGCATAATTTCATTGTTACGGACGGAGAAAAGACGCGCGTCCGCACGAAATACCTACTCGCACCAGACTAGTTCCTTCGATATACGCAAATTCTTTTCGTCACGAATTATTTCTATCGCTAATGTGATATATGATGGATATTCCCTTTTTCATCATTAGATATTCACTATTTTTTGAGTTGGAAACCAATTGATTCTACCGAAAAAAAAAATTTGCGAGATTAAAGTTCATTTAAAACTGTGAAATAATCTATTTCAGTAAAACTGCTCCTAATTGAATAATAATCAAGAAAAATTTTCATAAGAAAAAGAAGCAAACGACTATTTGATATATTTTCACGAATATTACATAATTTCTTATACACCTGGAAACTTTGTGTTCAATTTAACATATTTCACGTGTTCCAAACTATCCATTCAAATTTACATGTTAATTGAAAACGAGATGAATATGTCAGAAGGTAACACAAATATTATTTAAAAAGACAAACACAAAAAGATAATACTGACACAGTTTGTAAATAAACGGTAGAGGTATATTTTTTCAGTAAAATTAACACTTATGATGTTATATATGTTAAATTAATACATATTTTATTCAAGCATCTTAGAATTTACGTTTTAAAAACACATTATTTTTATGTTATTTGTTCACTTACTCATAAATTGTGTTATTTTAACATTAAAAAATGTTGAACATTAATTTAATACAAATTATTTAAATAACATAATCCATCCAAGGGCACTACAACCCAAGTCGAGTTGTGGCCTCCGCAAATAACACATTATGTTAAATTAACACTCAAATAGGTTAAAAAATTCAACATAAAAGTTTAATAAGGATTTGAGTGGACCGTTTTTAACAAAAATATGAAATGTTTTTTACTGTGTAATTTTGATATTTTTTAATAATATTTAATATTGAAAATGTGCAATATTAACTAGTTTATTTATACATAAATGTTCGATATTTTGCGCAATAACTTTATGTATTATCGTGTTAACTCAACATTTTTAATATTCCAGCTTGCAACGTATGGAGCGACATGGGTAGTCCGCGAAAATATCGGCCACCACGAATCGGCGACATTCCGCGGTAAGTAACTTCAAATTGCTTCTTCTACAAAAATAAAACTCAAAAAATTTCAATCAAAACTTTCTAACGTCACGAAAGTATATTGACATTACATAACTGTAACTTTACTGTTTACTATCCCGAATGATGATTATCGCGACATGGAAAAGTTATATGTTCCATTTACGTCATGTATATTCTTATATTTAGAACAGCTGTAATATCGCTGTTCGAACTGTTTATGTATGTGTTTTTGCAACGTTTATCGTTGATAATATCACTCATCGGCTCACTTAATAGCTAACTGAAAAAGTGCCTCCGTTTCGAGGACGGGATAATATACGATGACGATGCACCCGCTTACGCAAACGTGCGATATAAATGCAGATGTATTTGAGCGAGCATACGTCCATAGACGTATGCATAATACGATGGATGAAGTGCGCGTCGTATTGTGACAGTAGAAGAGATGAACTATGCAGTTTCCGCTTTTGTTATGAAATGACGACGTATGTCCCGGGAAATACACGAATACGTGAGGGGGTAACCACTTAATATAATTGTGAGACAGAGTCTTCGAAATCATTATAAAATTCACAATTTTATTAAAATATTAATAAAATATACGATTTTATTGAATATTATACAATGATTTCTCGTGGTTGCATATGTAATTATCGGATTATACATAGAGATTTCATACGAATTTTATAATGATCACGAGTATTCGCGAAGAGGTAACCACTAGCTGAAATATTTATGTAGTGAAAAAAATTACTCTCGTAATCAGATGAAATCGTATGAAATCATGTAATCTGTGGGACAATATTTCAGCTAGTGGTTACCTCTTCGCGAATACGTCTTCAGATGGTCCTTCAGAAACAGATGCATGTATATGCACATTTGGACAATAGTTTCAATTAATACCTCGATCAATGTTCCGGGTATAATATCTACATATTAATCTGCACCTGGCCCAGTTTCGTATAAATATAATCAGTCTAACTTGCTTCTGCAAGTTACATAAACTTGGATCGTTCTCTATATACTATAAAATTAAATTGTCAAATTATTATTTTGTCATAAATCAAGAACAAGACCCAAGCAAAGAGAATATCGAAGCAACAAGACATTATCGTTTCATCGATATTCTGCATTTTTACATTTAATAGAAACATGGAATATTGTACTTTTGGCAATAAACCGTCCATTGATTAATTCCGACCTTCGACACCATCGTCCTGCATTTACTTGAGGAAAGGGGCGAAAAAGGAAGTTCAAGGAGGACGATCTAAACTGCCATAATGCATCCAGGCATGCGAATAGATATTTTTAACCACATAGCCGAAGCCGATCGATATGTACCGAGGCGGCAGAGATTTGTGTCTAAATAATTGCACTTTTGCCCTCGCTAACGTTAAAGGTAGAAATTACGTTGAGTTATTTGACGTCGCCTCTACGTTGAGTTATTTGACGTCGCCTCTACACACGTTGAAGATACGATATTTATTTCCTTTCGTTAAAGAAGTCTTTTAAATCACTAGCCGTCTTATGATCGATCTGAGAAGAAATTTATCCGAAAATTTGCTATTATCTATGTATAATGTAAATGATTCGTGAAAGCAGAATTTTCCTTTAATAAATAATAACTCCGTTACGAACTGAATAACGATCTTTTCAATAAACATTCATTTGCCGAGGTAATGTTCTCGACAAACATCGCTGTTGCGATAGGAAACACTTCGCGATATACAGGAACGACGGGAAGGAAAAATATGCACTGGGAAATCGCAAACGGGCAACGCGAGATATTTTAAACTCCAGCCAAGCATCGATCGATGGCCAGGCCATTACTGCTTAAATTATTGAATCTTGTGGGACTAACCGATACGAGGTACGAGCGCCGCTACGCGAGAGCGAATACAGCGAACACCATAGTGATCTAGTCAGCTCTTTCTCGAAAGGTCGTCTCATTTCTCCCGTTCTATTGTTTTCTTTATTTTTTTTCTATTGTTTGCCACTCTCAGGGCGCCGGAGTTACATTTATCTCACCGCGACACGAAGCAACGACAATGCACTGCGCAATATACTCGCCCGCGTATTCCTGCGGCGACGTAGCTTCGGAATCGCACGCGACGTTCCAAATGCCGCCTGCATTGTCCGAGATAGGATGATCGCGAGAGTAACGCGGTTACGAACAACTGTGTCAACGGGATTTCGTCGATAGACGAGTTTCGTAATATATGTATCGCGTTATGTACCGGTTGACGTAAACTGTTGATACATTGCATGCGTCACATCCACATATTATTCTTAAATTAAAGTGTTAAAGATTGGCCAACCTTGAATAAAATTTAAGCTTCGTCGATTTTTACGAATTCTTAGTCGATAAAATTAAACGGCAAAATTAATAATAAGGTTGTATTATATTCATATGCTCCGCATATTTATAGTCTTATTCAAGCTTAAACGTATTAAACTCAAGCTTAGCATCCTTGAAATGATGCTCAAATTCCTACGGGAAAATTGGAGCGCGAGCCGTATCAATTGTCAGAAACAAATATCATGAATAAATAAGAGAGATGTTCCTCTTCTAGAATACGCGATATTTTATTACCAGGAATACGACATCTCATTTTCGAAAATCGTATATATAACATATATGTCGACGTGTCTAAAGTTATGTTCTCATCTCGATAACAATTTTCTTTGAAGCTACGAAAATGTTTCTAAAATTTTCGCATAAAAGAGTAATATTTTTCCATATGTCGACACATAAATGTAAATTTTAACAATTTGGAAAGAGACTTATGATATGAATAATTTCTTTACGTACTCGTGTATAGAATAATATTACAATGTATCGTGTTATACCTTTTTTATATAAAATATTTCTTATTGACGAAATTATATCAATCGTGTAATAGTATGCGCGTAACAATTTAAAAGATTGTTATTAATAGATAAGGTGCTTTACTATATTTATTTTATCTCATAATCTCTCGGGAGGGGGAGAGAATTACATTAAAATGTATAACATTTCACATTCCATTCTACGTAGATGTGTAGCAAATATTTTGTATGATGTTCAATGTCATTCAGTGTGACGTTCCATGTTACAGTATGCTTTTATTTTCTTCCAAAAATTCGGTTCTCTGGAAGAACAATTTTGTCATCAGTCTTGACAATTTGAATAAGAGGCGAGATAGTTAAGAAAGAAATTTGGGAAAAACGATAGAAGACATGTGGGACACAGGAAGAGAACAAAAAATGCGCGAGGTTTAACCGCGTGCGCGAAAAATCGTCAGTTCCTGCGCTTCGTTGAGCTTACACTCGCAGAACTTTCGGTTCGCTGGAGCGCATCAAAGCCGAGCTTTTCACCTAGGGATGGATCAGCCTGCATCTGACGCGCACTCCTGCAATGAACATAGCCGAGTTTTCACCGCTATTTCTCAAACGAGATGAAACGATACCAAAAATAAAAACCCACTATTGCTTCTAATATCCGGAAATCTTGCCCTTTTTTTACAATATGTTCATTTTTATAAAAGTTATAAACAATGGAATTAGTTGGATGCCATATCCAAGTATTATTTCCCTAGTATGGCACCGAAAGGTTAATTTTTGTTAACATATACATATGTATATTGCCTACTCTAGTTTCCTCTCAATTTACACATAAATCATATATATATATTATCAGCAATTTTACAAATTATGATTTTATCATATATTAAAAGTTTTGCATCCGTTGAAATTTTTCGCAGTCTATTCACACCGTAATAAATCGATCAACACATCAGAGACAAACGAATTTTTGAGAAGCCCCTTAATCGGAAATATGTGAAGACACTATGGCAAAGCACCGTTTGACACATTAGCGCACAATAAACCGGTGTAACATGCATAAAATATATTCAAAAGTTTCACATATTCTTCAAAGAGCGCTGTCCTTTCAATAGAAATTGATCGAATCGGTATCCGATTTCCTGTATAGTTTACGTGGTGTACAATTACGAGAGCTCTCTACGTATATACAAGAGTTTTGAAAGGCGAGAATTATAAGGATATGAAGATATTGATAAAAATGCGGGAGAAGCCCGTATAAAAGTACATAAGCTGTTTTTTGATTAACATTTACGTAAGCAAAGATTTTCTTTTGAAAGAAATCTTAATTTGTCAAAGTACAAACAGCTTTAGCTGAAAGGCCTTCTTATATAAAATAATTTTGAGGAATTCTTACCTTCAAAATGTATACGCTTTATCAGAAATTGTACTGAAGATAAAAAATGCTTTAGAGATATTTGTACCTACCAAAAATATCGCTAAAAACTGAATATTTATAGATACATAAATATTCCTTTCAATTACAAATGTGTACTCCTTAAGATAAAAATAGGTACGCTTCAAAGCTTGAGACTAAAGTCATAACTCAATTTAATACACGTCAAAAGATCACAAAAGATCGTGCGACTGTCGTCATCGTAAAGTCAATGAAATTCGAGCCAGTGCGAAAGAGGCTCCAATGGTTCCGACTTGAAATTATGACAATCTCTTCTTATATAATATAATGTCTTTCGTCGAGTAGTTCTCCTCGTCTTTTGCCTCATTCAAGTTTTCCTGTAAGCAATGCACGCTTTCATTACAGAAGCCGCTGCTTGTCAGAATATCGAGAGATTAAATTCTAGAATACCAGACTTGTGTCACTCTCTTTCTTTGTCTCTCATTGTATCGTCACTTGTTTGATATACCGATGTAAATTCTACGAATTTGGAACTGCATTAAAAATTCAAAAATACTATTGTTATATCTCGTTTTTATTATATTCACAAATTAAATATTAAAACTAGATGAATAAATGGTAAAAAAATAAACAAATATAGAGGACAGATTTTAGTTTCAATAAGTCATATTATAATGTGGTAATTTTATTTTAGTATTTTTTTTATAAAACTGAATAGTTAAAAGATCAACACACGAGACCCTTCGAAATACCATCTTATTTTGAATACCATAAGCGT